AAGGTTCTGTTGTGGCCTAGCCAGTCTCCAGACCTAAATCCAATAGAACATATTTGGAGGGAGCTGAAACTCCGTGTTGCTCAGCGACAGCCCCAAAACCTGACACAGCTGAAGGAGATCTGTGTGGAGGAGTGGGCCAAAATCCCTGTTGCGGTGTGTGCAAACCTGGTCAAGAACTACAGGAAAAATTTGACCTCTGTAATTGCAAACAAAGGCTTTTGTACCAAATATTAACACTGATTTTCTCAGGTGTTCAAATACTTATGTTCAGCAGTGCAAGACAAATACATTCTTTAAAAATCATATAATGTGGTTTCCTGAATTTGTTTTTAAACTCTGTCTCTCAGATTGGGAATTCACCTACAATGTGAATTTCAGACCCCTCCATGACTTCTAAGTGGGAGAACTTGCAAAATCGCAGGGTGTTCAAATACTTCTGTTCCTCACTGTAACTCAACACAGAACCATTAATGTCTAAAGCACTGGCAACCAAAGTGAGTATACCCCTAAGTGAAAATGTCCAAATTTTGCCCAATTAGCCGTTTACCCTCCCCGGCGTCATGTGACTTGTTAGTGTTACAAGGTTTCAGGTGTGAATGGGAAGCAGGTGTGTTAAATTTGGTGTTATCGCTCTCACTCTCCCATACTGGTAACTGGAAGTTCAACATGGCACCTCATAGCAAAGAACTCTCTGAGGATCTGAATAAAAAGATGGCCTAGGCTATAAGAAGATTGCCAAGACCCTGAAACTGAGCTTCAGCACAGTGGCCAAGACCATACAGTGGTTTAACAGGACAGGTTCCACTCAGAACAGGCCTCGCCATGGTTGAACAAAGAGGTTGAGTGCACATGCTCAGCATCATATCCAAAAGTTGTCTTTAAGAAATAGACATATGAATGCTGCCAGCATTACTAAAGAGGGTGTAGGGGTCGGAGGTCCGCCTGTCAGTGGTCAGACCATACGCCGCAGACTGCATCAAATTGGTCTGCATGGCTGTCATCCCAGAAGGAAGCCTCTTCTAAAGGTGATGCGCAAGAAAGCCTGCAGTTTGCTGAAGACAAGCAGACTAAGGACATGGATTACTGGATTTATATCCTGTTGTCTGATGAGACCAAGATAAACTTACTTGATTCAGATGGTGTCAAGCGTGTGTGGGCGGCAATCAGGTGAGGAGTACAAAGACAAGTATGTCTTGCCTACAGTCAAGCATGGTTAGTGGGGGTGTCATGGTCTGGGGCTGCATGAGTGCCGCCGGCACTGGGGAGCTACAGTTCATTGAGGGAACCATGAATGTCAACTGGGCCACAGGGCAGTATTCCAACATATCGACCCCCAAACACACCTCCAAGATGACCACTGCCTTGCTAAAGAAGCTGATGGTAAAGGTGATGGACTGGCCAAGCATCTCTCTCCAGACCTAAACCCTATTGAGAATCTGTGGGGCATCCTCAAACGGAAGATGGAGGAGCGCAAGGTCTCTAACATCCACCAGCTCTGTGATGTCATCATGGAGGAGTGGAAAAAGACCCCAGTGGCAACCTGTGAAGCTCTGGTGAACTCCATGGCCAAGGTTAGGGCAGTGCTGGAAAATAATGGTGGCCACACAAAATATTGACACTTTGGGCCGAGTTTGGACATTTTCACTTAGGGGTGTACTCACTTTTGTTGCCAGCAGTTTAGAAATAAATGGCTGTGTGTTGAGTTATTTTGAGGGGACAGCAAATTTACACTGTTATACAAGCTGTACACTTACTACTTTACATTGTAGCAAAGTGTCATTTCTTAAGTGTTGTCACATGAAAACATATAATAAAATATATACAAAAATGTGAGGGGTGTACTCACTTCCTTGAGATACTGTATATTTTGTTTATTTTTATCAGTTTACAAAATGCAAAGTGAGCAAACAGAAGAAAAATCTAAATCAAATCAATATTTGGTGTGACTACCCTTTGGCTTCAAACTAGCAACCATTCTTACACTTGCACAGAGTCTGATGTATGATTAACCAATTATACCAAGAAGGTGTTAATGAACATCAATTTCATATTTAGGTTGAAACACAGTCATTAACTTAAACAGAAACAGCTGTGTATGAAGCTTGAAACTGCGTGAGGAACAGCCACACTCTGCTACTAAGGTGAGGCTGTGGAAGAGTTTCATGTCACAGGTCATACACCATGGCAAGACTAAGCACAGCAGCAAGACACGAGGTAGTAATACTGCATTAGCAAGGTGTATCCTGGCAAAGATTTCAAAGCAGACTGGGGTATCAAGATGTGCTGTTCAAGCTGTTTTGAAGCACAAAGAAACAGGCAAAACTGAGGATTGTAGATGCAGTGGTCAGCCAAGGAAACTTACTGCAGTAGATGAAAGACACGTCATGCTTATTTCCCTTCGACATTGGAAGATGTCCAGCAGTGCCATCAGCACAGAACTGGGGGAAACCAGTGGGGTCCAGGTACACCCATCTACTGTCTAGAGAAGTCTGGCCAGAAGTAGTCTTCTGGTCAGACTTACCTCTGATGTGGAAACAGCTAAGCGACTCAACTATACTTGAAAACATATGAGTTGGTGTGCAGAAAAATGGCAGCAGGTGCTCTGGACTGATGAGTCAACATTTTAAACATTTGGCTGTAGCAGGAGGTAGTTTGTTCACCAAAGGGCTGGAGAGCAGTACAATAATGAGTGTGTGCAGGCAACAGGGAAGCAGGGAGGAGGTTCCTTGCAAGTTTGGGTCTGTATTTATGAAATGCAGTAGGCGGTTTGGTCAGGATCAATGGTGTTCCGAGAAAAACAAGCAGATACTTATCAATCATGCCATACCATCGGGGGGGGAGCATTAGGCCCTCACAGAGCCCAGATCTCAACATCGATTCTGTCTGGGATTACATAAAGAGACAGAAGGATTTCAGGCAGCCTACATTCACAGACAATCTGTGGTTAATTCTCCAAGATGTTTGGAAGACCCTCGCTGCTGTATCTCTTCAAAAATGGTGTGCAATTGTACCTGGAAGAACTGATGTGGGTTTGAAGGCAAAGGGTGGTCACACCAAATATCAGCAGTAGTGTACATTCCTTGATGTATGGAAAGATTTTACACAAATTATCTTTCTTCTGATATGGTAACCAGAACAGTTTGGCATTTAAAATTCCATGTTGTTACACCAGAAAGATTAAGATAATAACTTTGGACACTGATTAAAGTGTAAATTCACCTTAACAGAAAATCTGTAAGGTGACCTAACACTGGAGCCCCTCCCTATCCACACCCAGTCCTGCTGTACTGGAGTCCCGCAATACTTCACTGTCAAATACTGGCATGCCGCTTCACCAGACTAGGGATTTGAAATCCCTGACACTTAATCTCCTCTCCATACTGCTTAGCCAGTATGGACCAGAGGGAATCTAATTGGTCAGCACTGACACATGGACAATGCTGACCAATCAGAATCTGTCTAGCTGTCCTTTCAGCACTGCAAGGAGAGGAAAGAAAGCCACTGGGATTTCAAATTCCTGGACCAGTGAAGCAGCATGCAGTGTTTGACATCGAATGATTGCAGGACTCCAATACAGCGAGGGGTCCAGTTAGGTCACCTTAACAATTTTCTGTAAAAGTGAACTGACACTTTAAGTTTACATTTCTGGATATGAGACCCTCTTTAGGTGTGTAAATGTGAATGACAAAAGCACTCATGAATTTATTTCTATAAAAAGATATATATTTTTCTTTGAGTACACTAAACTCTGTTCCAGTCAGATAGCAGAATAGTATTACATTATAGGACATTATTTCAGCAACCAGGAACAAATTCTCTGGTCTGAGGCTCATACAAAGTCACCTATAAAGCTTGAGAATAAATTGCTGGTAATCTTTGCGATGTGTACAGATATATATATATATATATATATATATATATACACACACACACACATATACGATTTGTCTCTGCTTCCTTCTGCTATAAAATTAGTTTTTACACTCCTGGCTTTTTTTGTTTGTTTGTTTAGATAGAATAATGAGGTGTATAATGTTTTGTTCTAAAGTACAGTGCACCCAGTGTTGCCAACCACCAGTATTTTTACTGCCAGCCAGTGAAAAAGGGCTTTTTTCTCCTGCCAGTAAATGCCAGTGACAGCAAAAGGCTACCAATTACAAATATGGCTGTGAAGCTTGGCTTGGAACTGCGCATGCGCAGTTCTAGTCCAGAGCCGGCCGCGAACATCCGAGGGCCTGCTACAGTGTGTACAGGTGGTGTTGTGTGTGTGTGTGTGGTGTAAGGTAGCCAATCAGTGCTGCTGGAGCATCATGTGCAGGACAGCAAACCGGGAGTGGACTGTCAGTGCTGTTTGGACTGGAATGGACTGAATGGAGCACCTGGCATGGAGAGAGACTGTCACTGTGACAGGTTGGAGGGGATGTGTCATGTCGGAGAGGTGTCATCTGTGCTGCTGCACACTGTTGTCAGTGTCACTGTGTCAATTTCATGTGTGTGTGTCTGCCCATTCTAATTTCTTGCCCTCCTGAGTCCTGTCCCTGAGCTACTTACATACTATATTGAAAATAAAATAAGTATGTTTTATATCTACATTAAATCACATTGCTAATTGCATATTGTACTTGTTTGTAGCCTAAATGCTCAAATTTGCACTTAAAACTGTAATTTTTTAACTGTAGAAAATGCCAGTAAAACTTGGCTGTGATACTAAAATTTGGGTGTTGTATTAGGGAATTTGGCTGACACAATACCCACATTTTACTGGTTATTTTTGCTTATTTTGGCATTTACAACCATTAATATATTCTTTTTTTGAAGTTGAAATATACAAGTCTTCTAGTGCTTCTGTCCCAGCAATTTAGGAAGTATTTCCACCGCAGCAATTTAGGAAGTATAGCAAACGGTCTTTAAATACGTGCATACATTTTTAATTTAACTAGTAACAAAGAAAAAGGTTTACATTTCTTTGTTTCTATTTAACGTGACATTGATTCTAAGCATTAGGTTTCCCAGCCCTTTCCACCAGGTTGCTGTGGCAACTTGAGACCGACAAGTCCAGCAACTTCCTCAGGGGAACGCTCTCCTTTAGCATGAAATTCCTCATGGAAGATAAGTTGATTCCTGACACTTTGGAGAAGGCAAAAATAAGTGGAAGCTTGAAACTGAAGTTCTTGCTGAGCCAGGCAGAGCTTCTCACTAGTTACCTGTGAAAATAAAATAAATATTTAAGCATAGCCTATCTTGATTTTACAGCACGGAAATTAAGGTCTAATTCTGGCCACACACTTGGATAATTTTCAAGCAACTAGCTTTTAATAAAAAAAATACAAAATGGATCAAGACAACTAAACTATCAAAATATATTCTAGAAACCAGCAGGGAGTTTATAGCTGGACCTTAGGAAGTCAAGTGCATACACCCTTATGTTTCATTACCACATCTGCAGTCATGACTTCAACACGTGTACTACAATTTCATTTTTAAGCAGTTCTTTCTAGCAAAAAGGCTAAAATTGGTGAACAAGGCTCTGGATAGCAGTAATGTGGAACTATCCTAGTAGTGGGGCAAGTGAATATGTAAACACATTTTAACCAACCCAATTCAATCGCATGCTGTGACATTTCTGTCATTAAAACCACCAAGGCCTTGTTCACATGCGCGTACTTAAAGAGTACACCTGTGTGAGGACCATGTTTTACCTGCAAGGGATGCACAGTTGTTCCATGCATCCACATGCAGGCAGTCTGATTCAAGTCAACTGGGATGCAGAGGCTGCACTGACAAAGCCGCTGCCTCCAATTTGACATTTATGTGGATGCAGGTCCACGAACACAGACACTCATGCAGAATTCAGGTCTGTTAGACATTTATGAGGGTCACAACTGGGTGTGTGTGTGTTGTATATTAGCCATACTTTGAGTAAAGGCCTTGTTTGGACATCTGCTCTTTATCCTCATCCTTTCTGCTTTGTGATGTTATTTCACAATGTACTGTGTAAATTCTAAGCAGTCATATTTTATGCTTCCTAGTCCTTTCCCCCAGGCAGCTGTGGTAACATAAGGTTTTTTGTGCTTTTTTTAATTATGCAAAAGAGTTACTTTATCAAATATGGACTGAGCTGTACACAACTCACTGATGCAAAATCAATGAACTAAAGCTCTGTTCCAGCCTGTTCCCGGAGACCCATTAATTCCTCATTTGGGTGCCTCCATCCAACATAGCACAGGCAGTCACAGCCAACACATCAAAGACACCTCAGCCCCTCATGTGACAGTTGTTTATCTATTTTGTGCAGCAAAGGGAAGTGGATGGAGATAACAGTTTAGCTGTTGACTTCTGAAAAAAATGTAAAAACTTGAATATCAGTTACAGCATTGTCTAGGACATTTTTGGGGAAAGGAGCATGTTAACCGCTTCCTGACCGCAATGTACTGTGGCCAGGCAGCAGCTACAGGCAAAGTGACATACCCGTATATTGCTCTGGCTGTACTAACACAGGGGGGCACGCAGCGCTCTCCTCCCCCACGACTGCCCTTGAACGGGACCCAGTGATCATGTGATCGCTATGTGAAGAATACCTGTCAATGCCCATTGCCGTCACAGGGGATATTTACCCCGTGCCAGTATGTAAACAGCGGCTGCACCATGCATGTGTGAGCTATCGCCGCGAATGTCAGATCGAGGATAGTAATTCTAGCACTAGACCTGTGTAAATTTAAATTGGTAACCTGTAAAGGCTTTTAAAGCATCGCCTATTGATATTAAAAATGTATGTACTTTGTCGCCATTGCAAGGGCATGCACAATTTTAAAGCATCTCATGTGTGGTATCTATTTACTCGGTGTAACATCATCTTTTATACCTTCTACACAATTGGGCAATATATTTTGTTTTTTGTGCATTAAAATTCTAAAAAGTGTATTTTTTTCAAAAGCTTTTTGTTTCAAAAATCGCTGCGCAAATACTGCGTGATGTAAAAAATTTTCAACACTCGCCATTTTATTCTCTAGGGCCTCCGCTTTAAAATATTAATGTTTGAATGTTTGAAGATAATAATTTTCTAGCAAAAATACCATTTTTTTCATGTGAACAAAAAGTGTCAGAAAAGGCTTGGTCTTCAAGAGTGGATGATGTGGGCATAAGCTTTTAATGATGACCCTGAAATGCCAGGATAGAAGTAACCCCCTCCAAATGACCCCTTTTTGGAAAGTAGGACACTCCAAGGTATTTGCTTATAGGCATGGCAAGTATTTTGCAGATCTAATGAAGAAAGAAAACAAAAAATTTATTTTTTCTTTTCTTTTTCAAAACCCTGTGACAAAAAAGATATCTGAAAAAACACTCACCATGCCTCTAATCAAATTCCTTGGGGTGTCTACTTTCCAAAAAGGTTTCTACTATCCTGGCATTTTAGGGCCTCCGAAACTGTGATAGGTAGTGGGGAAGTGATATGAGGAAAATATGCCCTTTGAAAGCCTGGAGGTGGTCATTGGATTTTGGGGGCCTGTATGTAGCTAGGCTGTCAAAAAGCCTCTCACATGTGGTATCCCCAAGAAGTAGAATGTGTTTTGGGGTGTTATTCCACATATACCCATGGCATACATGTGCAATATATAATTTAAGTAACAACTTTTTGTAAGGAAAAAAATACATGTCATTTTTGACAAATTGGTGGCAAACAATAACATGTTCCATGGACTCAACATGCAAAATTCTTGGGGTGTCTACTTTCCAAAAAAGGGGTCATTTGGGGGGGGGGTTATACTGTCCTGGTATTTTAGCACCTCAAGAAATGTGATAGGCAGTCAAAAAGTAAAAGCTATGGAAATTCTAATATATATACACCATAGTTTGTAGACGCTATAACTGTCACACAAACCAATTGATATACATGTATTGGGATTTTTTTTTCTACCAAAAGACATGCAGCAGAAAATACATTTTGGCCTAAATTTATGACTGACTTTGAGTTTATTGGATACTTTGGATAACCAAAAGTGAAAAATATCTTTTTTTTCTCAAAAATGTCAGTCTTTTGTTGTTTATAGCGCAAAAATTAAAAACCGCAGAGGTGATCAAATATCACCAAAAGACACACATAAATACAAAAACATAATACGTGTAAAAATAAAAACATATTACATTTAAATATAAAAACAACTCAATAAACAACATTAAATATATCCCATAGTGTTATTTATGCCCCTAAAATGATAATGGACCCATCCATCCATATAAAGGGGGGGGGACAATAAAAAACTACCAATCAGATAAAAAAAAACTATTTAAATTAATTTCAACATTGAGCCCTTTAGGGGTCAACGGTTTTAATGACAGAATCCATTTCGTTTCATTTTTTGAGATTGATCTGGTCAAATTACCCCCACGCCACTGGGGTTCCACCCTATCAATCAATATTTAATTTTGTTTATTGAGTTGTTTTTATATTTAAATGTAATACGTTTTTATTTTTATATTTACACTTATTATGTTTTTGTATTTATATTGATATATATTATTGAATTTTTATTATTATTAAGGATACATTCATTATCTCTGGTGACACTTGTGGTATGTGAACAATATGTTTGCATAGGTTCTATGTCATAGAGATTTGTGTTGGTTTTATTTTGTTTATTACACATTGTTGATTTTAATTAAATTTAATTTTATTGTTTATTATGAAAGGGAACCCAATACTGGCAGCTTATTAATGACTATTTGGCATTGTGGGAAGGTTGGATATTTCCCTATTTATCCCCGATTTACCTTAAGTAATCCAGATTGGTTAATTCTTAGGTGGGAGGCACGCCAGTGTAGTATATACCGTATTTTTCGCTCCATAAGACGCACCTGACCATAAGACGTACCTAGGTTTTAGAGGCAGAAAACAGGAAAAAAAATATTCTAAACCAATGGACTGCAGACATAGTACAGGAGATGACCAGAGGCTGCGGACACAGTGCAGGAGATGACCAGAGACTGCGGACACAGTGCAGGAGATGACCAGAGACTGCGGACACAGTACAGGAGATGACCAGAGACTGCGGACACAGTACAGGAGATGACCAGAGACTGCGGACACAGTACAGGAGATGACAGAGACTGCGGACACAGTACAGGAGATGACCAGAGACTGCGGACACAGTACAGGAAATGACAGAGACTGCGGACACAGTACAGGAGATGGTCAGATGCGGACACAGTACAGGAGATGACCAGAGACTGCGGACACAGTACAGGAGATGGTCAGAGACTGCGGACACAGTACAGGAGATGGTCAGAGACTGCGGACACAGTACAGGAATGACCAGAGACTGCGGACACAGTACAGGAATGATCAGAGACTGCGGACACAGTACAGGAGATGATCAGAGACTGCGGACACAGTACAGGAGATGACCAGAGACTGCGGACACAGTACAGGAGATGGTCAGAGACTGCGGACACAGTACAGGAGATGGTCAGAGACTGCGGACACAGTACAGGAGATGGTCAGAGACTGCGGACACAGTACAGGAGATGGTCAGAGACTGCGGACACAGTACAGGAGATGGTCAGAGACTGCGGACACAGTACAGGAGACGGTCAGAGACTGCGGACACAGTACAGGAGACGGTCAAAGACTGCGGACACAGTACAGGAGATGGTCAGAGACTGCGGACACAGTACAGGAGATCACCAGAGACTGCAGACATAGTACAAGAGATGACCAGAGACTGCGGACAGCACAGATGACCAGAGACTGCGGACAGTACAGGAGATGACTGCTGACCTTTGGGGAGGGGGGGAGCAGGTACCTGAATTTGACAGGTACCCGCTCTTACTTCCGTGATTTGTTCTTTGGTTAGTGTCCGCTCTGCAGCACCACGCTGTCTTCCCGGCTTCTGTAGTGTGGGCGCAGTGTGCATGAGCGAGAAGCGCTGCGCTTTGTGATTGGTCTGGAGGCTTCTGGGACCTGTCATCTGTCCCAGGTGCTGCCTTACCATTCACAAAATGCACCGCATCTCGGTGCGTTCCAGGGTCATCTTGTACATGCTTAGAGCTGATCTCTTACTCAGTGCTGCCAGTTTGGTTTACTTTCTGGAATCCGTTTTACACTAGGAAGTCTGTTTTGGAGGATTTTGTTAATTGGCTACTTATTTTAAGTTATGAGTAGATTGAGCACTATTGTATTCAATTAAAAGTCTTTGCAATATTGCACTATTGGTTCTACTTTGTCTTCCTATATAACACACCGTTATGAGGAGAAATCCCTTTTGAAGTTAGATGTAAGGAAGCTCTTCTATCTGGAGGAGGCTATGGAGAGGAAATTTTCCCTGGGAATTGGAGGATAATATTGTATCCATAAAGTGCAATTTATTCTTTTCTCTGGTGAGTGCGGAATACATCAGTTTCACAGGAAGGTGTGGATCCGTGGAGTCTTTTCTCTGTATTACAATTATCCTAATTTTTTTGGAGCACTATTTGCATGTTTCAAGGGGACTTTCTTTGTTTTTGGTTTCATCACTTTTTGTATTTGGACACAAATGTTATAATTTTTTTTTCATTTTGGTGGTTTTGGATATTTATTTTATAACCACAGAATTTATTATGATTTGTGTATAATTATTTTTGATTCATTTCATGTTTTGCGCTGTTTTATTGTTTCACTGATTTTTTTATTTTTTCAATTTTTTCTTATCAAGGAACAGCATCATTCAATTTCAAATTTTTCACATAGTTCTTGTGGTGCAGGTTGTTTTTTTTTTTTGTTTAATTTAAGAGGAAGGGTTGAGTGACACCAAAGGTAGTAGCTGTGAGGGATGAGCTGATGGAGGAAATAAAAGGCAGTTTACTAGTTAGAAGCAGGATAGGCTTCTTTTAAAGAAAAGGTTTTCAGGGATCGTCTAAAGGTAAGAGAGAGCTGGACAGATTGGGGTAGGGAGTTCCATAGTATGGGAGAAGCTCGGCGCAGAAGTCCTGAGGCAAGCATGGGAGGAGGTGACACAAGAACTAGAGAGCAGAAGGTCTTGGGAGGATCGAAGAGAGTGGTTTAATATTTTGAGACCAGGTTGGTGATATAGCTGGGGACAGAGTTGTGCATGGCTTTGTAAGTTGCTGTTAGTAATCTGAATTTTATTTGTTGGGCGAGTGGAAGCCAGTGGAGGAATTGGCAGAGAGGGGTAGCAGACACTAAACAGTTAGTTACATAGGTAGTCTGGCTGAAAAAAGACAAAAATCCATCCAGTTCAACCGTTAAAAAAAAAAAAAAAGTTATAATCCTATACCTACAGTTGATCCAGAGGAAGGCAAAAAAACCCCAGCAAAGCACAATCCAATTTGCTCCTGCTAGGAAAAAAATTCCTTTCCGTGTTTGGAGATTAAAGTTTCATTTCTTCCAGACGTAAAGAGTGCCCCCTTGTCCTCTGTGATGACCTCAGGGTGAACAGCTCTACACCGAGTTCACTATATGAACCACTGATGTATTTATACATGTTGATCATATCCCCCCTTAATCTCCTCTTTTCAAGAGAGGATACATTCAGTTCCTCCAATCTTTCCTCATAGCTGAGCTCCTCCATGCCTCCTATCAGTTTAGTTGCCCTTCTCTGTACTTTCTCAAGTTCCCCAATGTTTGTTTTGTGAATTGGTGCCCAAAACTGAACTGCATATTCCAGATGAGGTCTTACTAATGATTTGTACAGGGGTAATATGATATCTCTCTCTCTGGAGTCTATACCTCTTTTAATACAAGAGGGGATTTTGATCGCTTTAGAAACCACAGCTTGGCATTGCATGCCATTATTAAGCTTGTGATCTACCAGAACCCCCAGATCCTTCTCCACCATTGATTCCCCCAGTTATACTCCCATAGTATGCATGATGCATGCATATTCTTAGTCCCCAAGTGCATAACCTTACATTTATCAACATTAAACCTCATTTCCCACATAGTTGCCTAATTAAACAGTGCATTGAGGTCAGCTTGTAAGTTGAAGACATCCTGTAAGGACGTTATTCCACTGCACAGCTTGGTGTCATCTGCAAAGACTGAAATGTGATTTCTAATCTCAGACCCTATATCGTTTATAAATATATTAAAAAGTAAGGGTCCCAACACTGAACCTTGGGGTACACCACTGACAACCCTAGACCATTCAGAGTATGAATCATTAACCACTACTCTCTGAATATGATCTTTTAGCCAGTTTTCTACCCATTTACATACAGATTTTTCCAAGCCTGTAGACTTTACCTTACACATTAGCTGTGTGTGGGGAACTGTGTCAAACGCTTTTGCAAAATCCAAGTATACCACGTCCACCGCCACCCCTCTGTCCAAGGTTTTGCTCACCTCCTCATAAAAAGAAATCAGATTTGTTTGTCAACTTCTGTCTTTCATGAATCCATGCTGTCTGTTGCTTAAAATATTTTTTTCCAGCAAGAACTCATCTATGTGGTCTTTTATTAAACTATCCAGTATTTTCCCAACTATAGAAGTGTATTTTGACCCCTTTTTAAATATTGGCACCACATTGGCCTTACGCCAATCCAGTGGTACTATGCCAGTCATTAAAGAGTCACTAAAAATAAGAAACAATGGCTTTGAAATGACAGAGCTCAATTCTTTAAGGACCCATGGGTATATGCCATCCGGTCCAGGTGCTTTATTCACCTTTATACTGTCTAAATATTTTTGGATCATATCAATTGTGAGCCAATGTGGATCATCTGGAGCTGTGTCCATGCCATACCCATTATAAACAAGAGCTCCCCCATGCTCCTTTGTATACACAGCGTTGAATAATGTATTAAATACATTTGCCTTCTCTTTGCCCCCAGTCACCCACTCTAGATTATTTTGTAAAGGGCCTACATGCTCGGACCGACCCTTTTTACTATTAATATATTTGAAGAATTTTTTGGGGTTGGTCCTGCTATCCTTTGCAATCTGTCGTTTGTTTTCAATTCTTTCGGCCTTTATTTCCTTTTTGCATATTCTGTTATATTCTTTGTAATGTTTAAACGATGATAGTGTTCCTTCATTTTTATATTGAATAAAAGCTCTTTTCTTATTATCTATAGCCTTTTTAACTTTGGCCGTAAGCCACATAGGTTTGATTTTTAGACTTTTAAACTTGTTGTCCATGGGAATATATTTTGCAGTGTGTTCACATACAGACTTTTTGAAGAACTCCCATTTCTGTGTTGTGTTCATCAATGCTAATATTCCCTCCCAGTATAAGTCTTGGAGAGCAGCTCTCAGCCTTGGAAAATTAGCTCTCTATAAATTGAGTGTTTTTATTTTTCCCATATGTGCTTGCTGTTTACAGCTAATAAATGAAATCGTTATGGTCACTGCTACCCAGATGTTCTTTTATATGGACATTTGTAATAAGCTCTGCATGGTATCAGATTACCAGGTCCAGCAGAACATCATTCCCAGTAGGGGCCTCTATGAACTGTACCATAAAATTGTCCTGTAGTAGGTTTAAACATTTATGCCCTTTAAATGTAATGATGGATGAGCCTGCCAGCAGTATTCATGATGGACTGGAGGGGGGATAGCCTATGTAAAGGTAAGCCAATGAGGAGGGAGTTGCAGTAGTCAAGGCGAGAGATAACCAAGGAGTGAATTGGGAGCTGTGTGGTATCACTGGTTAAAAAGGGGCGTATTCTGGAGATGTTGCGGTGGTTGAGGTGGCATGATTTGGACAGGAATTGGATGTGGGCCTGAAAGGATAGTTCAGAATCCAGGGTTACTCCTAGCACCCTGGCATGCAGGAATGGGTTGATAGTGGTGCTATTGATCCTGAAAATTCAGAGGAAGAGACACACGGGGGAGGAAATATTATGAGCTCAATTCTGGATAGTTGAGTTTTAGGAAGTGGTGTGACATCCAGTTTGATATTAATAGAGAAAAACAAAACAGAGGGCGCACCGTCATTGTGCATTACCTTTAAAAATATGTTTATTAAATTTAAAAGGTATTCTACTCACAAAAGAACATGAATATAAGCACATCATGTGAGACCGCTCTGTCCAGTTTACACTGCGTTTCTGAATAGTGATGAGAATGATGGACATCCAAAATGGCTCTCACATGATGTGCTTATATTCATGTACTTTTGTGAGTAGAATACCTTCTTTTAAATTTAACCACTAGCCTACAGGGTACTTATACCCCCTTCCTGCCAATTTCCAGCTTCCAGCGCTGTTGCACTTTGAATGACAATTGCGCGGTCAAACACTGTACCCATATGAAATTTTTATCATTTTTTTGTGACAGATAGAGCTTTATTTTGGTGGTATTTAATCACCTCTGGTTTTTTTATTTTTTCTTAAACCAAAAACCACTGAAAATTTTGAAAAAAAAATTTTTCTTAGTTTTTGTTATAAAATTTTGTAAATAAGTGATTTTTCTC